CATTTTGGTATATTTTGATATAATTTCAGAAATACCATAAATCCTCCATATTCTTTATTTTAACGATAAAAACGACACAAATAAAAAAAATAAGTTACACAAATTTAGACTAGTTTTTATTTCTTTGGAGTAATATTGTTAAAATATAAATGAAATTAATAAATAAAGAAGTGTTGTGTAGGAGAGAGAAAGTAATGGTGGGGTATTGAAAAAGTAAGAGAGAGAGAGAGTAGTGGACAAACATTTTTTTTGCTCACCATTGGGAGAGAAATTGTGAAAAAAATTTGCCCATGAGCAAAACAGATTTGTTGAGAGAGATAGTGGGTGGGCATTTTTTTTGCTCACCATTGAGAGTGGTCTTAGATCTCTTTTATCCGCAGATGAAGGGAGACTGGTGTCTCATCCAAATTAAAGGGATATTGAGCATTTCCTCCAATATAGGTGGTACAAACAGGGAATTTATCATACAAAAGTACCTGCAAAAACAAGCACCAAAAACTTGTCTAAGAATTAATGCGACAACTTCAAAAAGGTTATATCTCAAATTGCAAAAAAAAAAAAAAAAAAAAAAAAAAAAAAATGGTGTGAATTGGAAAATTATGTAATATCATAGAAATAGACAATATTGACAACTAAGTTGATAAACAGTACTTAGATTTCTTTTCACATATGTTTCTTAATTCATCAAGCAACTATGGAAAAGGCTATATAAGATGACAGGTGTATGGTCAGAATCAGCATGTCTAGTATTGGTGACATGCAATTATTAACAAGGGAAGTATTACAGCTTGAGTGAGAAGCTAAGAACCAAGGACAAGAATATTTTATGGCTCAATTTCAGAAAACACTCAGCCCTCATAGCCTTTGAAATGTAGGGGTCTGCTTGGCTTCCTTTGGCCTTACATTGAAGTGCTTCTAAATGAATGCCTTTATTTTATTTTTATTGTACTAATATTACCACTCACACATACCAAACTCAAAAAGCCTCACATATTCTAATAAACTAATTATAATGCTTAGGCACAACTAAAACGCATCCCATGAAACTATACCATATTGTCCTGTTAGTTTCTCACACCTTACTTCTTTGAAACTCAATGTAATACTTTGTATAGTATATAAAATGGCATCCGTTAGTGCTACTAGTACCCAAAAGAGAAATTATATTTTTTGTGAAAGCTGCCTTTTACGATTATGATCATCACATTAGTTTAAAAGGCCAAATAACAAGATAAACCAACATCATGATATAAAAATGGAACCCATTAGTGCTACTGCAATAGTAGTACCCAAAAAAGAGAACCTATATGTTTTCTAAGAAACTATATGGCGCCATTTTATCACTAGTAGCCTAGTGCCCAACCCATTATCATATAAATTTTTTTCTAAGAGAGGAATCACATTTGATAAGTTAATGAGAAGAAGATCCAAAAGCTAGTGTTAATCAATTCCCAGTTCTAATTGTAACTACACATCCCCATCTATTAGTGCTTTAAACCTATAAGCTTTAAAGCAATAATAATTTAACATACAAACTAAATTCAGATATAATCAAATCTTATAACACTAAATTAAATCAGATTCAATTATAATCAAAACCACAACATGTCAACAGTCCATCTCAGCAATGAAATTACAATAAATAAATAAAATAAAAATAAATAAAAACTCCAATCAAATCAGATTCAATTATAATCAAAATCATAGCATGTCAACAGTCCATCTCAGCAATGAAATTATAATAAAAAAAATAAATAAATATATAAATAAAAACTCCAATTATTATTAAAAAGTACAGTAACTTATGAGTTATACAAGCATTTGATTGTTTTGAGTAAACAAGCGTAAATCAAAAACAGAGCAGCAAAAATCAAAATCAGAGCAAAATTATAAATGTACAATGCAAAAAATTAACAATTTACCGAATTACAGTAAAAAAAATAAATAAATAAAAAAAAAAAACATTAATACTTAAAGAAAGTAAAAAAAATGCGAATACCTTAAAATTTTCAGGAGCAACACCTCATCCTATATCAAACTCCAGGTAAATAATTAAGAGTTCCATAGTTTCCATTGAAAGAGCTTCTATTTCGATGTAAGAGATAGATGATTCTTTGAAGCGACAAAGGATTGTAAAGGGGCATCGCCATTTTTGAGCAGATGAAGCCACCTCATGGCCCATACATGAAGGATTGTCTTCGTTAACTCCACCTTCTCCCTCGCTGAAACACTAAATAGCCAAATCAATGGAATACAACTTGATGAGGAGAGAGAGTGAATACTACTTTGCTGAGAAGATCAGAGGTTGACGTTTTGAGGAAAGTTAGATTAATTAGGGTTTGATGAGTAGAGAGAGTGAGCTTCATATCCATAGAGGGAGGCGGAGAAAACGAAGGAGGGTTTGAAGTTTGAGAACTACTTTTAACTTTGAAGTAGTGAAAGGCGGGCAACGTGCCGGGCCGTGCCTGGCGGGCCACGGTCTCCGGTGTCCGGGCCGGGCCGTGCCGGGCCGTGCCTGAAGTTACGTGCCATGCCGTGCCACCCAAATCGCAGGTCAGCCCACGGCACGGCCCACGTGCCGACCGGGCTTGTGCCGGGCTGCCTGTCGTGCTGGCCTGCCGTGCTGCCTGCGTGCTGCTGCCTCGTTGTGCTAGCTGCTGCCTTGCTTGATATATTGATTGCTTCTTTGTTTTTTTGTTTTTTTTTTTAATGTTTATACTTTATAAGTATATAGTTTATAGTCTTATACTATTACTATAATAAAATAAATTAAGTTTAATATTTATATTTTATTATTTATTATATTTAATATTTATCTTTATATTTAGTTCATACAATTACTTTATAGTTTAATGTTTATAATTTATTATATTTATTTTTGTATTATTAATTATTATAATTTTTTTGTTATATTAATTTACAAATTATAACTTAACGGGAAAAGCCAAATTGGACTTTGGATGTGAATAATGCATACTTCATATTATTATTACTTGAAAAAAATTGTACAATGATAATAATAATGATAAAAATCGTTCAAGGATATTAAACAAAAATTGGATAATGATAAAAATCGTACAATGATAATATTGATAATGATAAAAATCGTACAATATACAAAATTGTCTATTCTTCTTCTTCGTCTGCACGTTGAAGGTCATCGGCTAGTTGCATAGATTGGGAACTAGCCGAACCCGAACGGTCGGAAGCGGAGGTTCCTTCATCGTTGTCGTTGTCGTCGTAAGTACGGTCTTATGAGCGATTTTCAACATCCAACCAATCTTTGAAACACACGCACATTTCAAGTGTTTCGGGTTTTAGACTTGTTCTTCTATCGTCTAAAACCCTCCCGAATGCGCCGAAAGCTCGTTCGGAGGCAACGTAGGAGACTTGGATACCAAGAATGTCTCGTGCCATTGCCGCCAAAGTTGGATGCTTCGAGCTTTGTTGTTTCCACCATGCAAGGAGGTCGAGGCTGTTTATCTCTTCGTCGTTCATGCCCTTGGTGAAATCGTAACTCAGGTACATTTGCAACTCCCAGACATCACTTTGCGTTCTCCTTATTGATGAATCACCTGAAAACCTTGAAATCAAGTTAGTAGCTTGTGAAAATAAATGCTTGGCATTTTTACTTACGTTTTTGGATGGTTGGGAAGGGCCAGAGCGAGGAATGGTGCCATATTTGGTTTCATAAACTCTATATAAAGCAAAAAATTGATCCTTCACATTACTCTTATATGTTTCTACATTATCGTCAATAAGCATGCATTGAAAATAAATGTCAACTAACATAAATGTATTTTCATACTTTTGCCTAGGATCTAAAATGGAAGCAAAAATATAAATTAAAGGAAATTCAGTATAATATTTACGCCACTTTGTTTCCATTGCTGGAAGATATTGATCATAATCACTTTGGTTGCGATGATCAGCGAAAAGTTGGGCGAGTATACATGCATTTGAAAGAAAGTTTTGAGCACAAGGATTATAAACAGAAGAAAAACAAAATGTCATGTTATATAATAATTGTTAAAATTGCATATATCTTTCACATTTATCCCAATCATCCTCATATAAAACATTGTTTGGAAATTTTCCGTTGTAAAAAGTTGTTAAAGGATTCTTATATTCAATTGCCTTGGTTAACATGTCATAGGTGGAATTCCACCTAGTTGGACAATCGGTTTTGATTTTTATTGCTCTTATCTTTTGTTGTCTTAGAAAACTTTTCCATTCTTGGTATCTCATGTTTGAGCTATTAATAGACATAATAGCTTCTCTAATTTTGTTATAGTATGGACCAATTGCTCTAATTTTATCTTGTACACATAAGTTAAGAACATGGCAAACACATCTAGTATGAAGTGCGTCACCATCTAATATTACATCGGTTAAATTTTGTTTCACATAATTAGCAGTATATGTCATTGAGGTTGCATTGTCAAATGTCATAGACATGATTTTTTCTCTAAGGTTGTAGTCTTTTATAGCTTCCATTAAATGGTGAGCAATGTTAATACCGGTGTGGGGGTATTCTAGCATTTTGAAATAATGGATTATTCGTTTTTGTAACAATTATTGATCATCTACCCAATGGCAAGTCACACATAAATAGTGATATTTATAACTACTATCCCAAGAATCGGCAGTCAAAGACACTCTATAATTAAGTTTACTCAATTTGTCTTGTAACCGCATTTTGTACTCTAGGAAGTTTTTCATGGCGGCGGAACGAACGGTTTTCTTAGAGATTCTTTTATGTTGGGGTTGTAATGCTTTATTAATATAACTGTTAAATGGGTCACTTTCGGAGAAAAGAAAAGGTTGTTCGGCGTGCACTATTATTTTCCCTATTTCATCCCTATCCCTCTCATAGTTGTAGGTAAAGCCGCATGGATGGAATTGGGAAATTTTTGGCTGGGTTGGATCACTAGATGGTTGTGTACATGTTTTACTATGTTGCACGGATACGGACACGGACACGATACGGACACGGGAAAATGGCAATCCTGAAATAGGGGACACGGGTACGGCGTATAACAAGACATATAATATATCCAAAAAACGAGAATTTGACAACCTGTTCAATAAAACACTAAAAATTTAGCCTCAAAACACACAAATCTGTTTAAACAAAGTAAATAAACAAAGTGTACGAACATAGTCGCATACATAGGAAGAAACCATCAAACCAAATACATGTCTTAATATTAAGTAGTTTTACAAATCATAAATAAAATAAACATAAGTACTAATAGTTTCATTCTTCACCATCACCAAGTACATCATCAAAAATCATACTTTCCATCTCGGGTTCATCAAGTGAGAGCTCGGCCATCTCTAGAATACCAACCTCTCCTAGGTTGTCATGCTCATCCCCACCCACATCCCACAACTTAGATCTCCCCTTAGTGTACTCTTCACTTCTCCTAGAAAGTAATCGAAGGTTGTTATGAATGTATACCAAGTCTTGAGCACGTTTAGGAGTAAGCTTATTTCTAGTGCAAGAATGAATAAACTTATAGGTGCTCCAATTCCTTTCACTACAAGAAGAGGAAGAAGGTTGACCTAATAGCTTATAAGCCAAACCTTGAAGCATAGGCACCTGAGAACCATAAGTTGCCCACCAATTTTTAGCATCCATCAAAGCCATATCATGCATGCAATCAATGTTGAGAAAGATCCCCTCCGATTTTTGGGAAAATATAGCAAATTCTGTGTTGATCTTGAATCTTTCATTGAGACTTTGGAAAAGCCTTCGAAAACATTGTAATCTTTGTGTGGAAATTTCATTGTCGGCACTTGGAGCAACTCGTCCCGGGACCTCATTAAGCCATTCTTCCGTGTAAAATCTTTAACAACAAAATAAAATTAGCCATAAGAAATAAAAAAAAAAACAAGGAAAAATAAATAAAGATAATAAAAATGAATTAAACAAGCAAAATTTACCTTGGATTCAAAGAATGTGCTAATGAATGGAGTGGAGTACTACCCTTACTCCAACGACTACTAAGAATCCCTTTAACTACATTAAAGAAGGTAGATTCTTCATAATCTTGTTTACCCTCTTTCTTGTAGATGGCATCTTTCACCCCTTGAACCATAATATCCCATCTTTCATAAACCAAATGCAAGGAAGATTTGTCGGTGTCACAAACCCTAATCATATCATAGATTGGGCGTGTGAAGTCAAGAATGTAATCAACTTTGTCCCACCATATTTCATCCAAAATCTTTTCCCTTACATGTGAGGCTTGCCCGCGTCGATCATCCTTGTATAAGGACCAATTCTCAATAATAACCATTGATTGAAGTGATGTTTTAAGGAGTTTCAACCTTTTAAGCATGCACACAATAGAAGCAAAACAAGTATCGGCAATGCAAAGTAGTTTTAATGGAGAAAACTTATTGAACATTGAAAGCCTCATCGAATGATTCATCATGTAATTTTTAATGAACAAGGCATCTACATGAACTTCCGTTATCCAATGACATTCATCATACACTTCAACATTATTCAACACATTCTTAGCTGCACAAAATGCTTTTCATTGCAAGATTAAGTGTATGAACAACACATGGTGTCCAATATATATGAGGATACCTACCCTCAACCAATTCCCCTGCAGCCTTACAATTACTTGCATTATCTGTGATTATTTGAACAAAATTTTGATCTCCAATTTCATCAATCACCTCACTTAATAAGGTAGCAATGAAATCTTTGTCCTTAATCTCACCCGAGCAATCAATAGCTTTCATAAACATAGGACCCGTTTCGGAAGCAATCATAATGTTAATCAAAGGCCTTCTTTGTGGATCACTCCACCCATCACTAACAATGCTAACACCCTTTGTTTTCCATGTGGCTTTAATAGGTTGTAATAACCTATCCACGTTTTCTTTCTCTTTACAAAGCAAAGTTGTTCTAAGTTTGTTGTATCCAGGAGGCTTATAACCAGAGAGATTAGAATTGGCAGCAATGGTATATGAACTAACATAGTAAGGGTTTCTAGCAAGATTAAAAGACAACCCCTCTGTGTAAAACATCCTAGCAATTTCAGAATCCAATTGGTCACGAGATTTCATATTAAAAGCATCAGAAATTGTATTGTTTGATTTCCTCTTCTTTACATTATCAGATGAACCTAGTCTAACTGATGTAGCTTCAGTTGATGTGTGAGAAGATATGGGTTCATTTGAAAAAGGTGGAACTTTTGTTAACAAAGATTTTTTATAATCCTCAGATTCACGATGAAGCTTTCTTAGTTTAGCAAGGTCATCAATATTCACTTTACTACAAGTTTGAATCCCTTTCCCTGTTTCACATAGCAAATGAGCTTTCACTCTAGTGTATGAACCATTTTTATCTTCACTGCAAAGTTACATTTCCAATTATAATTTCCTCCACCACCCGATATTTTATCACCCTTATCAACAAACTTCCACAAAGGGTAGGGATCTTTCTTAGACTCAGATGAATTACTACTACCACTGACATTGCACGAAGCAGAGGCACTAGAACCACTAGAAGACATTCCTGACAATTTCAGCAAGACAACAACACATTTTCAGCAAATCAAACATTTCCAATTCAGCTCAAACAACATAATCAAATTACACATTGCACATGTACAATACTAGAAGACATTCTTGCAAATTGTTGTTCTTCAATCCAAATCCCAAACATCTCATATCAAATCAAATTAAACAAGTAGCAACTAGCAAAATCGTGTGGATCATAATCGTGGATCATGTGGATCAAATCGTGGATCAAAATAAACTGAGTGATACTAATTAAAATTTTCAAGCAAAACCGTGATACAAACTGATTGAGTAGTTACTTTTTTTTTTTTTGAATAGCCAATTTAAGCAAAATCGTGAAGGAATGAATTCAAAGTAAAACGAGAATGAGAGATTGAGAGGATTACCTGAGAAGGCTGAGAGCACCGGCGACCAACGAGCGAGAGTGGACGGTGGCGACGAGCGACGAGTGACGGCGAGTCGGCGAAGGAATAGAGTATTAAAGGGGGTTTCGTGATGACTGAGGAATAGAGACTTGCGACGGTGGACGCTGGACGGTGGCCGACGAGTGACGACGTTCAGGCGATGTTCAGTCGGCGGCAATTTAGGTTGAGCCGTTGAGGTGTGTTTGAGAGTGACGAAAGATAGAGAAGATTGAAAGGAAAGCAGTAGGGTTTGAGACAATGAAACTTTGAGGGAGTTGGGCTGGAATACAAAATGGCGTGTCCAAGTTAAAACGGGTCGTGTCAAAGGGAGACACGGTCCGTGTCCATGGAGTATTTTTTTAAAAAAAAATTGGGACACGGATTTTGGAGTGTCGGACACGTATCGTAACGTGTCCCACCCGTGTCGGTGTCGGACACGCGTGTTGACTCGGACACCTCTGTTTGGTGGCGTGTCCGTGCTTCACAGATGTTTTAAAGTGTCGACTTAAGTGTCCCGTCCCGGTCTTGGATGTGGCCGAGTATATTTCACCACATGTTTTACATTTTTCTCTTGTTTGGGGCTTTATTTAGCACAAAATAATTCCATACATCACTTTTGCAGCTTTTAATATTTACCATGTCACTTTCGGTTAACCATTGCTCTTGTGTGTTTGGGAATTGGATGTTTGTAGATTCGGGGGTTTGTTGGTTAGTAGTAGAACCGGAGGTAGTTGGGGTATCTTGTTCGTTACCTTGGCTAGTATAAAAATTTTGTGGGTCAAAGAAGTTAGGTGGGAATTGACCGAATTGTGGAAATTAGTTTTGTGGTGGAAATTGGTTTTGTGGAAATTCAGTTTGTGAAAATCCGGGCATATTCATGTTATAGGGTTGAAAACCGGAAGTACCACCATGCCTATATTGCTCAAAACCTAGGGGGACGGTTCTGGGGTCATTGGTCGGACTCGAAATTGGGGGGGTCATTGGATTAGGTGATTCCCTAGAGCTATTACACTACTAGAAATAGGCTGATTTCCGACGGACACGTATTTCGGTCGGATAATTCAAAAATTCCGATGGATTTTTATTCCGTCGGATATTTCCGACGAATTTTAAAAATTCGTAGGAAATTCGTCGGAAATTTCTGACGGAATATTTGAAAATCCGTCGGAATATATGGGAATTCCGACGGAATATTCGTCGGCATATAATTATATAAAGAAAAAACCCAACCCTCCCCCTTCATTTCCTCTCTGGTATTTTCTCTTTCTCTCTCCTTCTCATTTCATCTGCCCACTGTTTCTCTCTCCTCCTCCTCCTCCTCCTCCTCCTTCTCTTCCTCCTTTCTCATTTCATCTTTTCTCTTTCTCTCTCCTCCTCCTTCTCTTCCTCTCTCCTTCTCCTTCTCTTCCTCTACGGCCCTTCTCTTTCCTCTACGCCCCTTCTCTGTTTCTCCTTCTCTTCCTCTCTTCTTCTCCTTCTCTTCCTCTACGCCCCTTCTCTTTCCTCATTTATCTTCTCTTTCTCGATGTTTTCCGGCGGGGTGGTGTGACGGTAAACTAATGGTTTTTTTGGTCAAATTCGACCATGGAAAGTCTAGATCTAGACTTTTCATGGTCAAATTTGGCCTATTTAAACCAAATTCAAGAATTCAATTCAAAGCCAATATCGGTTATTAAGGTATGTTTTTCGAGTCTTGAATTTTTTTGTTTTAAATACTTTCTGTTGCTGCTATGGTGGGTGTGGATGTGGTGGCTGGTGCGTTTTTTTGTTTTTTTTTTTTTAAAATACTTTCGGTTGTTATTGTGGTGGGTGTGGATGTGGTGGCTGGTGCGTTTTTAGTCTTTTAATCGTGGTGGGTGGGTCGGGTTTAGTTTGGGTTGTTTTAGATCTGGGTTTAGGTGGGTCGTGGTGGGTGGTTTTAGATCTGGGTTTAGTTTGGGAGGGTTAGGGTGTGTTAAGGTGGTGGGTCTGGTTAGGTTAGGGTTAGGAGGTGGGTTTGGGTGATGGGGAGCGGTGGCGGGTTACGGTTAGGGTGGTGGGGAGGGGATACGAGTTAGGGTTACGGCGGTGGGTGGGTTTTTCGGGGCAGGTGGTTTGGTTTGGAAAAGGGGTTGGACGTGGTGGTGGTGTGGGTGGTGGGGGGTGGGGTGGGGTGATTTTTTTTAATTTTTTAAAAGCTTTTTCCGACGGAAAATTATTTTGTCGGAAATTTTTCGACGATCTTTTCCAGGCCGGAAAATCTCTTCCGAGGCCTGAATTCCGTCGGAATCGTGTTTTCCGACGGAATTCATGGTGTTTCCGACGGAATTTTTCCGTCAGAAATGGCCTGTTTTCTAATAGTGTTACCACGGATAAATTGAGCTTTCCTAAAACATGATGGATTGTTCATGTTTGGTGATGCTATAATTAACAATTTTAATATTAACTATAATAATAATTAATAACAACAATTATAACAATAACAATAATAATAATTAATAACAACAATTATAACAATAACAATAACAACAATTATAACAATAACAATAACAATAATTAATAACAATAATTATAACAATAATAATAATTAATAAGTAATAACAACAGTAATAACAACAATAATAAAGATTAGTTAGATCTTACAACCGTGATTTAACGCTTTCCACTAATTACGATTACGAACTTTTAATTTTTTTCGATATTAATAAATAATAACTAGAGAATATATGAGATTAAGAGAATTAGAGATTAAGAGAAGAGATGAGTTGAATTGTTGTATGGAAGTGAATGAAATTTGATATTTATAGGAAAATTTAGGAAAGTAGCCGTTAATGGCCGTTAGAGGGGAAGAAGAGCAACGACATTATAGCCGTTTATAGCCGTTGTTGGGCATGCCAGGCCGGGCTAGCACGCGGGCCGTGCCTAGCGGGCCGCCCACGTGCCAAAAAACGGGCAAGCACGGCGGGCTCGTGCGTGCCGTGCCTGTTTTTTGGTTGGCTTGCACGCGGCATGGTCCATGGACCGCTTGGTGACCACCGTGCTGGGTCGTGCCGTGCCGGGCCGCTTGCAGGCTGGCACGGCCTGTGCCCAACTTTACTTTGAACAATATAAAAAATACAAAGTACTGTAGTTTTTAGCAGCTGGCACTTTAAGGCCGGTTACAATTATTTTGTTCAAATTTTTGTTGACCAAGTATTCGTAGCGAGCATTAAATAAATCAGCTACTAATAAATTTTCTACTTTTTATTTGACATTTATTAGTAGCGTGAATTTTATGCCAGCTGCGAATGCCACGGTATTAGCAACTAGCATTAGATAGGCCAGCTGCTAATATCAATTTTAACTTTTACCCACCAATTATTAGCAACGTTCATATATGTTAGTTGCTAATGATATTGTATTTGTAACTTACAATATTTTAGCCAGTTGCAATAAGTGTTTTAGTAACTAACGTATATAACACCAGTTGCTAATATGGGACTGCTAATAGCAATTTTTCCACTAGTGTGACCAACTTCCGAAAAAAGATTGTATGGGTTTGTTTAATATGCTTAAGTTTGGATTAAATGACATTTTGTTTGAAAGGAATTGAGAGGAATATGAAAGGACATGTGTTTGGATTGTATGAAATTGACCTATGCTAAATGGACACTCTATATGACCTAAATTCAAATGACAGGTAGTGGATTGAAAATTTTGATCATGTTAGGCCACAAGAACGATCCATGAGATGTAATGAAACTTAAAAGTATGATTCTCCGTGGCAAATAGTTCATCTTGTAACTCATCATAATCAAATATTCAATTCTAGCTAAATATAGATAGGCCATAAACCATAGATCGGAATATATGTTTTATGCAAGTACTAAAATGATACAAGCATGTAAAGTCGTAATTTACTTAGTTAAAGGCTAATTGTCTTCTTATTAAGAAATGCATAAGGGAACTCTGCTCTTCCGAATGATGATGGAGTTAAGTCTAAATAAAAGTTCCTTAAAAGGTATGAGAT